AAAAAAAAAAAAAAAATCTCAAATATAGTATGCGGATTAATCCAGTTTAATCTCAGCAACACTACTCATTAAATAGTAGGCAAGTAATTTCTAATTTAGGGCAATTTCCTCATTTGTTAAACATAAATATGGATACCTTACAGGGTATTACAGGATTCAATGAGAGAAGAAAAAGGGTAAATGTGTATATGTGTGATATACGTACAGTAGATCCTTCACAGTTGACCTTCTCTCTCCATTGACCACTTTCTTAAATTGACATAATATCCATGGACCACACATGTACCATAGTACAGCAGCCCTTATGTGTTTTGTTTTTTTTTTGTAGTTTTTGGCTGGGGCTGGGTTTGAACCCACCACCTCCAGCATATGGGGCCAGCGCCCTACTCACTGAGCCACAGGCGCCACCCCCTAGATCCTTATGTTGACCACCTCTGTATGTTGTCCAATTTGTTACAGTCCCCTGGGTGGTCAACTTATCAAGGTTCTACAGCATATATACATACATACATACACACACACACACACACACACACACACAGAGCATCTGGTATAAAACGGGTACTCATCATGTTCTCTTTTCCTACTTTCTTTTGTTCAGTAAACTGTTGTAATATACTCTGAAAACATTTTCCTGTTTTCAAAGTAAAAGATATACCAAACTCAAGCTTGGAATCTACAAAAGTAGCAAATGAGAAGAAAAAAATTTTAAATCAAACTAATGACTGAAAGTATTCTGTGATTCTGGCATATAATGTTAACATACCCTAAAACTGTTATTAAGGGAATATTAAAGTGTTAAAAGATACTTTAAGTGACTTGATAAGACTCATAGATGCAAACTAAGTCAAAATCCTATTAGATATAGAATATATCTAATATTCTATAGAGAGAATATGAGAAAAGATGATATATTTTAACTATATTAGAATTTCTACAGTTGAAACCACCTCCCTTCATTGACCACCTCCTTAAGTTGACCTAATTTTCATAGACCAGACATGCACCACATGTACTCAATAAAAGACTGACCTCTATATATGGACCACCTCTGCAAGTTGCACCTTAATCACATGAACTGTCACACAATATTAATTTACCCTCTATAACTTGACCAGCTGAGTCCACTCTACAAGGGGTAGAAGGTGTAGGCTTTGCCCCTTAGTTGTATTAACTTTTCTTTAGTATAAGTTCTTTTTTCATGTTTTACTATAACTACATACTTTAGGTCTAATGTCCTACTATTTAGCACATGTTATGTGGAAGATTTTTTTCAACATGAAGGATTGCTCTGAATTGTAGGTACATCCTATGATTATTGAAAATGTTTATAGTTAATCGAGACCAAAGGAAAGAACTCAAAGAGCTGATAATAAAGGAAAAGGTTGATGTTCTAAATTTTCTGGAAAGCCAGAGCCAAAGAAAGTCAATGGAACATTTTGATGTTAGTAAGACCACATTTAGCAACATCCAAAAACATAAACATAAGCACTTGGGAGAGATAGGTTAAGGAAAGCAGGGACCTAGAGCAGAAAAAGAGGAAAACCTCCCTCAATTAAGTCAATGAAGGCACATTAAGCGAGTTGAGGGCAGTTAATGCCTGAATCTCCAGGCTG